CAATCCCGACCCACGGGCGCTTCGTCTCCTGGCAGAAGAGGCAAACCCTCCCCGACCTCCAGCTCCCATGCGCCCTACTTGTAGTGACGGCGCAACGCGATCCTGTTTCCCCCCGGATGGTGAAATCAAGCGGGAGAGCCCCCCATGCCGGCATCTTATCCCGTGCTGCCTTGGTGGCTTTCTTAGCTCCCCGCCTCACCTCCGGCCGCAATCAGATTGGGGATCCCTGGAGGGCCCAAATATCTGTCTCCCAAATGAGGAGAATCGGACCCCCCCCTCCCCTTCGGGTTAGAGAGGCATTTCGAGCTGGGAAGGAGAAACACGCGTCGCCTGACAACGGAATGAGCTTTCCTCGGACGAGATCTGCCTCGTTGGTTCTCATCTGGAAGCAGCTCCCAAAATGGCCCATAAAGGTGTCATTTCTGTGTGGGGGTTGGGGGCTGGGGAATATCCATTGTTAGTTTGGAGTTAATGTAACAGCTGAATCTCCCTGCCCTCCCCATTCCCAAAACACCCCCGCAACTTGATGCATCATCTTCACTTTGCCCTTGATGTGTTTGCTCCACTTGTTGCTTCTCCCCTGTCCGGGCACCCTGTAGACTGCTCCTAGAAGAATGAAAGTGGAGTAAGTTGTTGGGGTTTTTTTGCTGCTGCTGTTAAAGTATGCGACTGAGAATAAGGGATTTTTCTAAGAGATTGGGTTTGGCACTGTGCTTTGATTCAACGGCACTGAGACATGTCTGTAGTCGCTGGGCAGCCCTATAAGCAGAATCGCAGTGAATAAAATTTCCTTGTCAGGTTGCGTGGGTGGACTAATTTGGACTAGAAACTGCCTGCATTTTGCCACCAAAAACTCACTTGTGAGAAGGGCAGTCAGTCAAGAGTCAACTTAAAAGGGACCCAGGATACCTCCCTTGTTTAAACTTGTATGCTTGAAAATGATCTGAGAAACAATAAACAATCTGTTCCTTTTATTTCTCCTCCAGAAATCCATTGGAATATTAGTCCAAGGAGGTGCTTTGGGGACATTTGGCAGTGCAATGGCTTCCAAGTACCTCATAGTGGTTCTGGCCATTTTCTCCTCTTTCGCCCAGGTTGTAATAGAAGCCAGCTCTTGGTGGTAAGCATCTTAAAATATACTGACTTTATTTAAAATAATATATTTAATTTGTTTGGTTTTTATATATCTTATCTCTTCCTAGGGAAAGTGCTGTATGAATAGGAGATTTTTAGCAATACTCAATTTCTGGGATAACTGTAAATCCAATGGAAATTTATTTTCGCCACCATTAAAGTAGCAAAATTAAATTTCTAAATGGGTCACTTAAAATCTCATTCCATGGGGTCTGAAATAACAAATGCAAGGGAAAGCACTGAATTCCATGTACAAAATATTTTACCCACAGATTTTTTTTTTAAATTTAAACAACTTTCTAAATAGACCCAGGAGTCTGAGTTTATATTTCTTGTAGCTGGGGGGGACGGGGACGGGACTCTAGTTAATATCTGTTTTTTTTTAATGTTTCTATTATTTGGAGTTTTTTTTTTAAAGCAAAACCTCTGCTCTCTCAGTTGAACACTTTCTGACTAGCAGTCCTGTTTTAATCATGTGAAAGCACATATGGACCTTTTTTAAGAATCGGGAAAACATTATTAATTTTGTTTACTGTCTGTACGTGCCTCTGTATCGTTTCTATCAGTTAGAAGAAGCTAGTAGTTGTCTGTAACAGCATCTAGCAGTTGGTACTTAAGGATTTCCTTATTTTCTCATAATTGTGTAGACTGAAAGTTGAGGTTGAAAATTCTAAATCGTGTGGTATGCTTGGGAGTTGTTTTGTTATTATTTTATGCACTTCTATGGCCAGACAGTTGCTTGGGACTTCTTGTAACTTTACCATGCCCACAGAAATTTGTAGGGATGGGGTGAAATTTGAATCCTGGCATTCAGGTACATTGAAGTCTTGGCAAAGACAGTCACTAAAGCCTGCTGCCATCATTCTATACATGTGGCCAGCTGTCTTCTGTACAGCCTTTAAACAAGAGTTGGATGATTTTCATTGTTGTTCAAAAGTTTTCCTCTTGGTCACAAGAACAGGAGTGGGTAGGTTTATACTCTAATATTGTATTTGTCCTCCCAATGTTAATCTAATTTCTTTATGCAGGTCTTTAGGTATGAATCATATGAATCCTATGAACCCTGTTCAGATGTCAGAGGTATATATAATAGGAGCACAGCCACTATGTAGTCAACTAGCAGGACTTTCCCAAGGACAGAAGAAACTCTGCCACTTGTATCAGGACCACATGCAGTATATTGGAGAGGGGGCAAAGACAGGCATTAAGGAATG